TGTTCCTAAACCTTCAAAACTTGCTTCTCCTGGAGAAATGTTGACAATGAGACTCTAGACTATTTGGTGTCCTTTGATGTCTCAGAAGAAAGCCAAAGACTGAAAGGCCATGGAGCCTCAGACCTAGAAATGATCTCTCTAGCACTGCTCAATGCAAAACACTGAAAGTCCCAAACACAGAGTTTTCACTTTAGCTTTTTCAGCAAGAAGCCAAACATTTCCATGGGAAGCAGGTACTTTCCAAAGAAATGTTTAGTTAGCCAAAAATTGAATTTTGGTCAAAATCCCATCATCACCACCACCACCACCACCAGTTTATATGGAAAAAATTCAATCAGCCTTATAACCTTCATGCTCAGGGTTGAAGCACATTGGCAGAGAAGGGTAGCGTAGCTTGTACTGTTGCTGCCTGTGCTGTGGAAGGAAGGATAGACAGCCTAGAACATTGAGTTTGTCTGTCACATGTCATGAGAACTTTATTTGTTGTTTTAAAAAGATCAGGAAAAGTTTTAAAACATTTCACCTCAAGTGTACAGCGTTTCTGAAGAGAGACAATTTCCTCCTTAGCCAATGTCATTTCCAATTGACAGGCTGAGGTGGCAGGGGCTCAGGTGAGCCCTTTGTTATCACAGCTACCTTTCATCATGATATAAGAGAATCTTGGCTTCCTTTTTTTTTTTTTTTAAACCAAGCGTCTAACACTTTTCCTCATAAAAGAGACTTGATATTGTAAAGTGATTGCTAGGGTTGAAAGGAACTAGCACCTGGGCATCAATTTTGCAACAAGAGGATGGTGGAACCTAAGGATTCTCCATCTCCCATTTGTTATGGTGACCCTACCCCAAATCCTTGAACTGAGCTCTATGCACAGTGGTGAGGCATGGATGGGAATTGGGCAGCAAAACACAGAATGTTCACTCAGTTGCAATCACCCCTGGTAAGGTCATGCCAGCTGCTGCACATGGAACTTCCCTCCATGCTTATCTATCAGCTGTGCTAGGAACACACAGAAGATCTTGCAAGTAGTCCTCGCATAGTCCCAAGTCCTGCACTCCCAACAGTACACCAGAAGAAATAAAAGGAAGCAGAGCTTTAGTTGCAGATTGTGCAGCCAGCCTTTCTCTGTGGCAATACCTGACTGCACTGCTAAACCAGCCAGGAGTTTGAATTGGCAGTAATGGGAGGAGCCTTGATCCTTATCCTTTTCATCCAGTACACCACTAAGAGAGAACCCTTTATTCCCACATGCCCCAGCTAAAGGGTACCATCAGGAGTTAGAAGGATATTTGCCAGGTTCAAAAATAATGGGACTTGCAAGACTGGGATAATTTTCTTGATAAGTTTGAGTTTTGAATTGAAATATCTGATTTCATGGAAGCCTCCACAGAATTTAACCACTTATCGCATCCTGAAGTATGGAGCATAATTTTATGTGGTAATAATTAAGTACAATGAAAACAATATGAAGATCTTAAAATTTTTTTGAACCAGATCATGGACATATTGGAATTATGTCTGCTGTGAGTCTGACTTTGACTTTCATAATCACAGTCATTGTGTCCAAGCCCATGTATCGTCATCAGAGTACATTAAAAATAATTAAATAAAGTCAAATGGCTCCTTTACATAGCAACTACTTGTGTACTTGGCACATAGTGGATATCAGCTCTGCCTGAAACCCTCTACAGCCTCTAATTTAAACCTGAATGACAATCTACAGCTGTCCTCTACTGTCTACTTCTCAGGAGATGACATTACAGATGAAACAGTTAATTTAAACAGTCTGGTCTTATGCTGAAATGCTATAGTTTTTGACTTACCTTGCTATTGGAGATGGACTTGAAGCAAACCCTAGATCCAAATGACTGCATGTGTGTATGTATGAAAGTATGTGGTTGGGGAAGTGTCATGTTTCAGAATCTGAAACTCAATTCAGAGCTAGATGAGAATTTTTTTTAAAAAGTGTAAGTAGATCACTAGTCCCACTGAAAATCATTAGACTTGTGTTTTTTACTTAAAAGCTTCAAAAAACCCACCCCCATTCTTAAGGTCTAGCTCCTCCTGTATCACTGCAAAGGGTCAAACCAAAAGCCTGGAACTGAACACTATTAGAAATGCAAAATCCGGAAACAAATCCAAATTTGCAACTTGAATTCATGTCTCTTTTGGTTAAAGTGCGGCTATGCTAGGCTAAAAATGATCTTCTAAGATTGCAGCTATAGAAGCTCACTTTTTGCTTTTTTTTCTGTATATACGTGCATGATTTCACTGACAGCCTAAATGCATTTTTAGCTTGTCTGTATGCCTGCATGCAATACATATAAATAATTTTTTTTTCAAGTGAATTTAGTGCTAGTGGGATGTGCTTGCTGGGTTGATGACTCAGGAAACTGAAGACCTCTCTTTATATCCATCGCTTTCTCATGTTGCCGTGCCAATATGGCTTATTACTCATCGGGGGGGGGGTGATCATTTCTGGGGCTGAGAGAGAGTAGCCCAGTCTTCACATCCATTCAGTCTTTGTCCTCTATGCTGGTACTTCCAGCAAGAGTGTCTAGTTCTGGAATGCTGGGTGATAGACAGACCTCTGTATTCTAGAAGTCGGACTGAGACCATCTATTCATTTCACAGAGCCACTCAGCATGACTTCTAGTAATTAGTAACCTAGGCCACAGTTGAACTGGTGATCAAGAGGTGAAAGGCACTATCCATACCTGCTTGAGTTAAAAATATAAAAAAGCTAAAAGTCTTCTCATCCGTGATAGCATGATGACAATATATAAGCATCATACTATTCAGAGAATGGCTTTTACTGGAGAATACTATAGAAGCATAGTCTTACAGGGACTCAAGTTATTTGGCATTTTTATCTGTCTAGATAGCTAGCTATTTGCCTCAGAAAAGTGTGACACCCTACAACCCTTATCTTTGGTAAGAGTAAAGTAAGTTCTCCTGTGTAAATATTATCTTTTTTTATTTGTAGCTTACTGAGGAATGTATGTAACTAAAGTATTTAATAGTAGTATGACATTATATGACAGAGAAAGAACGAAAAAAGATTATCAGTCTAGAGAGTAAGTGAAGTGCCTGGGGGAAAAAAGGAAAACACATTGGCAGTGTATACATATAAATGAAAGAGAAAATCAAACAAGTAAAGAAGAAAGGAACAAGTTTAATGGTAGAGGGAAAAATACAGCAGATTGACAGTGGAAAATGAATGAAAATAAGGAGATCACAAGAGGATTAAAATATTTGTACTATATGCTCTTGGGCAAGTTGTGTTTGCAATATACTTCTCTTTACTTTTCTATGAATACCTGATTGGTTTTCCTGCTGTTTCCAGCAGTTATCCTTAATTTCTAATGAGACCTGATTCACCCAAACTGTGGTCCCTGATTGTTTTCCCATCAGTGTCATAATCCAAAACCCACTGAAGACATTGGGAGTCTTTCAAGTGACTGCAGTGGTCTTTGAATCCAACCTTGATGAACTTCATTGTCAGGGAACACTTCATTTTTAGGTGTACAGTAAAGGTTATTGTTTTTAAACTAAATAGCAGTTAATTTTCTCATGGTGAATAGCACTTTGCTCCATAACTGGTTCTACTGGTTTCAATGGAACCTCTTAAGGAGCAAAGTGCTACTCAGCATGAGTAACAGGGTCAGAATCTGTCCCTTTTGATTTCAACTGGCCTATCTGACCTGGAGTGGGGTATAACTCAGCATGGTTATAAATGGCAGAATCTGGCCCTCTCTGAGTAAAAAGAGTTTTGCATGGTAGCACTGCCTTGATCCTCCTGGTCCACAATACATGAAGTAAAGGGTGAAAGTGCAGGAACAGAGTAAAAAGAATAACAGTTGAAAAAGCATTATAAAGCCTAAAATGCAAACAGGAAAATGTCTGTGCAATACCAGCAGAAAAGTGAGGTAATCATTATGACATCATTATATGCTGATTTATATGGCATGTCTGGTTGCAAAAATCAGTAGACTTATTATGTATCCCTTCAATTCTTAGTCACTGAGCTTTCATGAGAAATTATTGCATCATATCACAACTGCACAATCCAGATCATCCATCTTAAACTGTTCAACAATCCTACTTTACTGGCTTTTGTCATGAGTTATTTTTTGGTGACAAGGCAAATGGTTATTAAAAATACGCCTGCTCTTGAGGGGTGGAGTGTAAAATTTCAGTTTCCTAAAAATGGAAAAATTTTAACACCTTTTTCCAGCCACTTTCCGTTTTCCTCTGAATCAGTCTTTTTCCAAAATATTCCAACATTCCTTATGGCACATTCTCTGTGAAATCAGAGAAGCAATTCATTATTTTGGATCAGAGTTGATCCACATAACTTACATACTAAGGCCCTGATCCTGCAATCAGAAACCTGTGGAAGAATCCTTGTGCCAATGCACAATCTTCCACTGACGCCAAAGAGGCTCTGTGTGGGGCGCAAGTGTTCATCTGTAAAGATCCGGAGAACAGGGCCTAAAACTGTATCTATTCTATGTGCTACATTAGTAATAGATATTATTATAAGGCACCTTTAAAAAAATAAATCTAAGCTCAATAAATGTTTAATTTTACTCAAACCTTTGAGCCACCAAAGCACCTTTCAGAAAAACAGTATGTTGGCTAATTTTTTTAAATATAGGGGATACTACTCACTGTTATATTTGTTTTTGTCTTAAAGCAAAAAACCGAGCATCCTGCTTACTTAATACAATAGTATGTGTCCAATTCAGGGCATCATATGTATAAACAATATTCATAAGTATGTATCATCTTAATTTTATATCCATTTTGATTCACTTAAAATTTTTAAATATTTTGGACTCAGATTTGAGGAGATACATGTGAAGTTATTAAGTAAGCTAGGGACTGCTATGGGCACTTTTGGTGCGCCAGATCACCACTGCAAACAATTCATTGGAAGCAAAGTGGACACTGCATTGCAACTACAAGATTTACTCTTCAATGATTGATGGTTTCCACACCTGAGCTGTGACACCAACTTTCTTAGCTGAGAACTTGGGCCTTGGAGCAGTAAACATAGAGGATGTGATTGATTCTTGCTTAGAAAATGAAGGGTAACCACTAGGCTCGTAGGATTCATTTACAGGGGTAGGAGCGTTTGACTGGAACAACGGTTGTGAACTGTAGGCTGGTACGGAGTACACTGAAGATGCTTGGACATTAGCAGAAGGACCAGCACTGAGTGGTCTTGAATGCAGAACATGTTTTGAGGCAGACACAGAGTCGAACTTTGTGGACTGCTTAGTTGGTAGGCCTTCCTTAGTAGCAGAAGGAGGTTGAAAAGTAAATAAAGATGCATTAAGCTGATATGGCTGATGCTTCATGACATCCAACGCACTGAGAGCTTTCTTAGGTTTTCTTTTGGTATTTTTGGTAACTGCAGGTGACTTAGATTGGGATTTGGTAGCAGCAAGAGGGTAAGAGGGGGACTGGATGGGATTGTAAGCAACGGGTGGAGGTGCTCGAACATTAGATGAATACTTCCAACAAGCAGGTAAAGATGGAGTTGGAGATGAGGCCCGAGCCATGTGGGCCTGCACAGTTTCTGAGTCTACCACATACTTCTCCATCCGAGATTGCCTTTTGGCAAATAACTGTGCTCCTTTTCCACTAAAAGCTGGTGGCATCTCAAAGGCAGGCCCCATTCCTCCAGCAAGTGCAATATTTCCAATTGGTGTAGTAGGTGTTTTGGGTGTATAATTTTGTTTTGATACTGCTGCTTGAGGTCCTTTAAAAGGACCAGCTATCTTAAGAGTACTTGGAGGCCGAGGAGGAGGATGAGCAGGCTGTGTTAGTTTGATTGGTGCAGAAACTGCTGTTTGGGGTGAGTTTGGAGTCGGGAAGGCAGGTGGCTGGGTAGAAGCCACAGCTGGAGGTGACCAGACTGGTGAAATGGGAGTTACAGCAGTAGGAGAGACTTTGACTGAGGGCTTTGGAGCAACGGGAGGAGGGGTCTTTTGTTTTGATGCTTGAATCTGCATGAAATTACAAGCTTCTGCTCCCAAACTAAGGTAGTCTTCTTCAGGTCCCGATTCAAAGCCAGCTCCAGTACTTCGTTTGCCTTCTTTATTCTGTACAAGTGACAATAGGGCAGGGTTAGGACTCACTTTTGGAGGTTCTTTGAAAGTAAACATAGGCTTTGCAGTGCTTCTTTTCTTTGCCTCTTGTAATATCCCAGTTCTTATGGCCGGCACTGCAATCCTTTCATCTCTGGATGCTATCTGCTCTGTTGACTCTGTTGGTGACCAAATAGCTGTCTGAGGTCTGCTGGCCACTGGACTTGCTACTGCTGCATATAAAGCTTGAGGCAGTGGGCTAACTGTGGAATAGGAAGGGGGTGCTGGTAAATCTGAGAGAGGGCTAGTCACATTTCTTGTTGGTGAAAAAGGTGCTGCTGCTCGATTCTGAATCCCAGGGAAAGGTTTAGCTGTTCTGTTTAAAGATGTTAGTTTTTGGGCATCATAAGATTCTGATGCTCCTCCAATGCCATTTTGTTGGACCATATTGCCATGACTATGGCTCACCTCTATGTAGCTTTTGCTCACGCAGCTCTGCTTTTTTGATGTTGCTTCCTCCTTTACTGGATAGGATGAGGAGCTCACCTGTTTGAAGCTTTCTTTTAGGGCGGTTCCCCTTTGTACCTCTGCATGCATTCCATGCAGCTTCATCTCTTCTTGCTCAGCTGTGATCTCATCCATTCTCTGCCGTCGCTTGGCGAACATGAGTGCCCCCTTGCCCTTGCTCTCTGGCAGCATCTGCATCTCGTCTCCACCTTTTAGTTTCTTTTCAACCTCAAGCAGACCAGTATCCCAATCAAATGTCACAATCTGGCCTTCTTTGTCAATGTCAGAGAAGAAATCTTCATCTATTTCTGACTCACTTGTTCCAAGTAAAGTTATCTCAAAAGTGTTTTCTTTGTCACCTTCACCTTCCTCTTCTTCACCCTCCTCTTCGTCACGTTCTAGTTCCCCAGTGCCGTAGCTGACTAAAGTGTATTTCCTGGCTCTTTGGCGACGCTTCTTGAACATCAACACTCCCTTGGAATTGGGATTGGGAGCTGCCGTCAGCAGCAGGGCAATGCTCTTACATTTAGATTTGGCTTCTTTCACCTGCTTCTCTGACAGGCTTTGACTCCGCCTAAGTCCTACGGGAAGTATCAAAAGACATATTTAAAGTGACACACTACACAGAAATATGTGAAGTTGTCTGACTACAAGCATTGCAACCTCTGTCTGGAATATAGCTTCCTAAATGTGCTGCTCTCCAGCATATATTCTGTCTTTTTTTTTTCTTTTTTAAATACTGGAACCTTACCTGGCAGCAGAACTGAGTTCATGTCTATAATTTTCATGTATTTCTATGTGTGTTTGAATATAGATATAAATCTATAGAGAAGGGATTACAATGAATCTTTTTCTGCAGTAACTACTGTGGAACAAATTCCATAGCAATCATTCTTTGTGAGACATGCCTAAAAAAAAATACAGTTTTCTACAGAATTTCCTTAGATCGACTTACAAGAACTTTTGTGTCACATACCTATTTCTGTCATTACACACTTATTATAATATTCTACTTGTAAAATCTCTTATGTGCTATATATTATACATAATACATTTATATTTACTAAATTACAAACTCACATAAAAATACATATAAACTATGGATATAATTTCAGTCCTGCTTGCCACTGAAGTTGGTGATAATTTAAGCATTGGGTTTAGTGCAAACAGGTTTAGACCTTTAAAAGGAAGCGTTTTCTGAAAAAGTAATTCATCATAATATGGTATAAATAACTCCTAAATAGTATTGTATAGTATATTATCTTGCCATATATCTGTTAATGCATAAATTAATTGTCTTAATAATTTACATGGACTGTAGTTGGCCTTACTACACATTCTTTTCTTAATTTTAAACAAGTGTGCAGTCCCACTCCTTTTGAAATTAATGATCAATTCCAATTAACTTAAAAGGGGGTAAAAAGGGATTGCTAGTATATTATGCATGGTAGTAAAACAGGAATTTTTTTTACATCTAATATACATGTAATAACCTTGTTAAATAAATGTATGTAAAGCTTACTATAATTACTGATCCTTTCAAACATACCAGAAAAAAAAGGAACCTCACTCTTCTTTTGTTGAAGACAAGTATAATTTTACCATTATATGGATGTGAGCATAACCAGAGCCATAGTTTTCACAGAAAACTATAAAAGATTATAGAACATGGGTCCAATCCAGCAAAACTTCTACAGGACATAATTTTGAAATCCTCTGCTCTTTTCTTATATAGGCAAAACTGTTAGTGAAGTCACCAGAGGAGTTTGTCAGAGTAAGGGCTGTAGAACTAAACTCATTTTTTGGAGATTAGGGGAGCTGCTACATTATGGACCTGATTCTGCAAATCTAACTCATGAGTAATCCTTACTTATACACAAAGCTTCAAATAAGGATACTATCAATCAGCTTGAACTACACTTGTGGAAGAGGATTTGCAGATCTGATTTTGGGGGAAAGAATAAATTAAAATGTTCTCTTAGCAAATATTTTTATAGCTTGTTTACATCTGGTGTACCCAGCAGATTCAAAAGAAGGTTTAAATGAAGAAAAATTGCTTGCTCCACTAAATGTAATCAAATTGCTATTTGCAGAGAAATACCTCTGTTAAAGAATTTAGAACTTCATAAAGCTTATCTGGTCTAGTTTAAAGTCTTAAACAACATATTAATAGCTTTTTGCTTCACAAAACATGTTTGTTTTATATTCAACATACTTGCTGCTTGAAGCAAATATTTGTATCTACGTATGTCATTGGTACTTAGAGTCATCAAGAAGGTCTTAAAATATTTTTATCATTCCATCAATATTTATCCATGTATAACTAGTGTTTATCCTTCAGGTACAGTTGATTTAAAATTTAAAGTTCTGTCAATTGATTCAAAATAATTCATATATTATATGGGAAGGGGAAAAGGCAAAATATTTGTCCTAAACAGAAAAAGTGTAATAGAAGTAAGTTTTGTTGCCAATGATAGTTCATTCTGTATTAAACAGGAGTTGCCTCACACTTCCCCCAACTTATTAGACAGCCAGAGCACTGCAGAACTGACACTGTCCTACAGTTGCTGCTAACTTCATTGCCAAAATGTAATGCATGTACACTCTTCTTTTATATGCCACTTAATATGCCATAAATATGTGGATTACATACAGATACTTAAAGCGTAAGTAACAGCTTAACCCACATGCCAATAAGGATGCAAATGGTTATCATTCTAAAAATACGCTTACTAAGGAATTAGCAATGGGTTAGCAGACCTATTCCAACACTGCATATAAAATAGCTCATTGCTACACTATATCATTGCATGCATTCAAGCACCGTTGCCATACTGTGATTAAATCCCTGAGCAGAATGCTTGACATGGTCGGAAAAGAACAAACAAGCATTAGAAATGACCCAAATAAATGAATAACTATGTATAAATGTCTCTTTTTAAACCAGTGTTGGATTAAATCACTTTTTCGGTTTTTTAGTTAAACTCCTTAGATTTTGAGCCTGACCTCTGGATTTGGAAGGCAGAAAAATACTGAATTCACTTTAGAGTCTAGAGAAGACTTACAAAACTCAAAGGATCATATAACTAGCCAGTAATACACATGCTGGTGTCTGTCAAACTGACTTCTGCAGGCATCATCAAGCTTTCCTATTAGCCTTCTTTATTCATAGCTACTTTTAACAGCAGTGGCATAGCTTTGATTTTTAAAGATGCAGTTGAAGACGCACAGATTTTGCTATAAATGGAGAAATCTAGAACACGCGACCACGTTCAAGAGATGACCTTGCTTATTTGGTTAACATTTTACAAAATCATCCTTGTAGTGCATGTTAGAAGTCCAGCACAATTTACCTCCCTGGAAATTCAGCTACTTTTAGTTTCACAATGTGAGATATCACTTTTAAAAGTAAATAGTCTGTAAAATAAAGTAAAGTAGTCTACTACTGCACTGTTAAAGCATGGTTAGACACATGGGCTGAAGCCTTTGCAATTTTGTTGTTTTAAAAAGACATATGAAGCTTAAACAGAAAGATCAGTTTTTAAAAACGGGGCAGGGAGATAGAACACTTGAAAAGAATCCCTTTAAAATATTTAGTAATGCAGGCATGGTTCTGAAAAGCTGTTTCACGTTACAAAATTTACCCTCGAGTCTATGCAAATGATTTAGATGCGACATACTTACTTGCGTGCCTTGCCCTGTGCTTGTGAGGTCTGCTGTGATCTCTTTCTGAGTGCTGGTCGTCTTCTCCCTGCTCGGTGCCTTCTGATGAGATTCCAAAGGAGACTACAGAAGGAGGTGCTTCTGACTGCCCTCCTTCCACTTGAGAAGCAACACACCCCTTTTCAGCTAGAGACCTGGATACTTCCTTCTCCCTGTTAGAGCAGTCTAGGATCACTTCCACCCTGGGGAGAGATGGATCGCCTGCCTCTGATCCTTGGATCACCTTGACCTCTTTGCCACTAGCAATCTGGAATGTTTTGCTTGACCACTGGACAGTGGCCTCTTTTTCACACAGGGGGACTGCTGTTACCGGGCTAGTCCCATCTTCTTGCACGCTGGGTCTGGTTTCTGAAGGGGTACATTTTTCAGCTCCTAGGAGACTAATTTCAGAAGCACTGGTGTCCTTGTGTCTGTCATGTGAGAGGGACAACTGCAGCTCAACCACAGTGCCTGGCCTTCTTTCTTTTGTATTCTCTTTGAAAGCAGCTTCATCTGTCAAGAGTACTCTAGAAGTTTCTATCACTTTAGGAGTAATTTTGTGGCACTGCATTGTCTCCTTTTCTTGTTTTGTCACAGAAAAGTCACTCTCCTCTGCTCCATGGGATGTGTCACTGTGTATTTCTGTGATGTAGAATTCTTTCTGGGGCATTTGCGTGGCTGTTCTGATTTGCAGTGTGGTACTCTCCCTATAGTCCTCATTCTTTATTTTATCATGCTTTTTGTTTTCTGTTTCTGGACTCAAGCTTTCGTTTAGTCCATTGGATGATCTGCACATATATACACAGACACACACAAAAAATAGTTCAAGAACATAAGCTGTTGTAAGTACAACTGCCAAAGAAATTTTCATATTTAAATGGAAGTACATATTGTGTCTTCCCCATAAAAAAATACCTGCAGTATCTGTTAGTAGGTAGATTTAGGTAACAGAATTTCTCAAACATTTTAAATACAAAGGTTTTTGTACCTCTTTTAACCCCCTGCAGTAGCATTAGGACATAAGAGCAACTATATTACTGCAGTAAGATTTTATTCTATGAGTCTGCTACAGCTATTCTTAAATCTTTGACCTATGCCATTCCTAACCTGTATACCCAGCTATAAAAAACATATGTTTCCAGACAGATGCTTGAATCATCTCAAACTTCTAGGATGTATACTTCCTATTTTATGTTTGACTATAGAACAAGGGCTTGGTGCTGAAATGAGAACTTTTAATCCATTCTCCTAGTATTCAAACTGTGTTAGGTGTTGTCCTCTTGCATAGGTCCCTGCCCCCAAAGAATTTACTATCCAAGAAGACAAGTAGCATATACAGGGTTGGCAGAGATCAATGGATGCTTTAAATACTTGCTTTAAAGGAAATTCCTTGTTTTTAAGTGCCATTAAGCAGTTATATTTTAAAGGCTCATCCTGTGTTATATTTTAAAGGCTCATCCCTTTGAAGTGCTTAGTGCTTTTAACTCCCACTGAAGTCTGTGCAATTCCTGGTGCTCAGTACAGCATTAGATCAGTCTATATATTTTAAAATAGGAGTTTTCTGTTTGCAGAATCTTACTTTAGCTCCTCTAACCCTACATGTCAGACTATATCTTCATTTGTTCTATTTATTCCTCTTTCTCCTCTTGGCTATGTCTAGACTGGCATGATTTTCCGGAAATGCTTTTAACGGAAAAGTTTTCCGTTAAAAGCATTTTCGGAACAGAGCGTCTAGATTGGCACAGACGCTTTTCCACAAAAGCACTTTTTGCGGAAAAGCGTCCGTGCCAATCTAGACGTGCTTTTCCGCAAAAAAGCCTGAATCGCCATTTTCGTGATCGGGGCTTTTTTGCGCAAAACAAATCTGGGCTGTCTACACTGGCCCTTTTGCCCGAACGGGAGCAGCACAGTATTTCCGCAAAAACACTGACAATCTTACATGAGATCGTCAGTGCTTTTGCGGAAATTCAAGCAGTCAGTGTAGACACCTGGCAAATTTTTCCAGAAAAGCGGCTGATTATCTGGAAAAACTGGCCAGTCTAGACACAGCCCTTCTGTTTTATAGGTTCCCTGAAAGGGATTATCAACTTTACTGTAACCGAGTTCCCCCTTTTAGTACTGGATGCCCCAGTGACACACTGTTAATTTCAGTGGAAACTATTTCAGAGTCGTCTGATATAGTGACATATTATTCATTTTTAATATTTGACTGTAATGTAGCAAAACTTTTTGGTAATTAATAGACATATTAGATGCCCTCAATAAACTACAAAGCATCAAGTACTATAAGAGGAGTTTGAAATCAAAAGCAGGCTCCTGATATTCTAAAACTATTGGGTCATGCAGCAAATAAAGGCCAGAAATAGTAACGGAAAATGACTAGGTAAATCTGTCACCATATGAAGATGCCTCAATATAACTCACATTTATAGCCTCTCAGCATACTGATTGCATCAAATTGGATTTTGCCTCAAATAGGAAACAATGTATAACCTCTATTATACCACATATGGGACAACATAGAGGTCAGACAGATTTTCATTTAGGAAGCCCTGCGTCTCTCTGGATTCCATCATATTGTGCTATTTGGATAATCAGTTGTGTGACTGCTGACTCCAAAAAAATGTTATGAATCCATAAACATTTCCTTCTAGGCTATAATACTGGGTTTAGGCCAGCTAACTTTTAGCCTTTATTGGTAGCTCAATAACTGTGTGAGTGTTTGTGTCAGAGAGAGATATTTCCACCTTAAAAGGTCCTCACTACGTATTGATATGCTGTTCATAGACATTGGTGCATGTCTGTGGGTCCAGTAGTACAGACATGCACCAATGGCTTTTTTGTATTTTATTTTTATTTTTTAGGTCAGTTCAGATCACTGGAGGATTTGCAAAATCAGTTTGTATCCAGACACTAGTGGTATAATTGCAATAAGGAAGCAGAGCTGCATGGAGGGGATGCAATAGGATTTGGTCCAAAATGGTGTTTACAGACTGAATATCGCTGTTCAGTTTGGCTCATGCTCAGTGCATAATAATCTTTTTACTGTCATGGAAATATTCCATGCTCTCCTTCCTCCCAGAATCCTCTCCCTGGTCTCTAGCTCACATTCTCAACATCCATTGGGAAGGTTCTACTCATCCTTGAGTGCCCAAGGGGTGGCTAGTGGCTCTCTTCCCACTCCTACTGCTTCTGTGGTATGTCCCTCTAAGGGCTTTCTGGAACGTCAATAGGATGTTCTGTTCATATGATCTCTTTAGGATATTTGCCAAGAGGGCCCTAACCCTGGGAATTAGGAACGCAGGAGGTGCTGAGTCACTCCCAGTTTTTGTGGGGGTCCCACCTGCCACCCCCTGTCCAGGGTCCTGGCTCTGTTTTCCTTGTGCCCAGAGCTCTACTCCTGGACCTGCATCTGCAGTCCCTGCTTCAGGACTTGTGCCTGGGGCTCTGTTCCCGGCAATACACTCAAGGCCCCAGCTGCTGCTAGACCTACATCTGGGGCTCCGTTTCTAGTCCTACATGTGGGGTCCTGGCTGCCACCAGCCCTGTGCCTGGCTCTCAGTTCACAGCCCTGCTCCTGGAATTCACACATAGAGTCCCAGCTGCCACCAGCCTGCTCTGGGAGCTCTGCTCCCAGTCCCACATGCAGGTTCCCAGCTTCGGCCCCCTTAACTCTGTCTTTATTTCCCACCCTTCCAGAGCCAAAGCTAGGGTTGCCAGGTGTCCGGTTTTCTACCGGACAGTCCAGTATTTGCACCGTCTGTCCAGTAGAAAAATTCAGAGAATACTGGACATGTGCAATGTCTGGTATTTTCTGAATTCCTGGCTGGGCGCTGGATGGAAGCTTGGCGGGGGCAGGGGAGTGACTGGGAGGCAGGGCCACAATTGGTGCTAGGAGCCTGTGGTAGTGTGCAAAATCCAGGAGGAGTGGGGGCCGGGAGCCTCTGGCTGCGTGCAGAAGCCGGGCACGAAGGGTGGCTCCCAGCTATTCCCCCCGCCTGGCTTCTACTAGCAACTCGAGGGAGTGCCTGCCAGAGGTGCGGCCCCTTGGACTCCGGCTGCGGCCAGTGGCTGCCCCCCCCTTTCAAAAAAAGGCACTATTGAATGCAAACTGCATTTTCGAAAGAGAGTGTCTAGAGCCGTGGTCACCAACAGGTCAATCGCGATCGACCGGTCGATCGCGAGGCCTCGACCAGTCAATCGCGAAGCGTCCTGTCCGCCCTGCCCCCATTTCCCTCCCACCCCCGATAAGTCCCACTACCTACCTCAAGTGAAAATGGAGGTAGTGTAGGCTTCCCGGGGATGGACAGAAGTCCTGGGGCAGCTTAGCGCCACTTCCGGAGATTCCAAAGTAGCGCTAGCTGCTCTGCTGGGTGTACTACGGGAGGGAGCATCGGCTCCTTGCACCGCATAGGAGGGTTGAGTCAGCCCCGTGACAGGCACGCGCGGGACTTCCCTGCGCCGGTGGGGGAGAGTGGTCGGCCCCGGGGCAGGCACGCGCGCGGGGCTTCCCTGCGCCGGGGGAGAGGTCGGCCCAGGGGCAGG